GAATAAATGTTATACTAAACCCTTGTATAGAAACAAGCCTTACTGTAAGACATTTTGAAACCATTAAAATATATATATATATATATATATGCACATAAAATATGTGTGACATCTTATGTTTATAACTGTAGAAAAACAAGTTCACATACACATTTTAATACCTTCCTCACTTAGTTTTAAAGAACTGACCAATTCAATTATCCCTTTCCAGTTTCCAGACATGGTCACCAAAACCTTTGATTTCTTCCTCCTCACAATGAAAATACTTACCAAAAAAATACATGAAATTCAGTGTAAGCTTACCAAATAATATCTACTTTCATCTTCAAAATTCATATAGCTTAGTGTGGATTTTCTGTCACTTCTTATATCATAAAGTTTCCAAACATTTGTTATAAGGACCTTTTGAATAAACATTATAATATTTACATCTTAGAATTTAATTATTTTTATTATTGATCAAAAAAGTCCCATTTGATATATCTAGTCAGTTTGAACTTAATTGGTTTTATTAACATATTTAACTTTGAAACTTTACTTTGTTTTCAGTAAATTATAAGTTCTTTTATTTATATATATAATATTTGAATATGATAAACTTAATGGTGTTATTTAATGAATAAGGATTTGAGTCACCAGAATATTTTGCTGTCATTACCGTACAATGTCAACCTAATAAGACTTACCCGAGGTCTTGCCATAGAAGAACACTGCCATAACTTTCAAGGAAATAGAACTGAACTCAAAAATAATGTATAAAAACAAACAAACAGATCTATGGTTTGTTCCCAAGTCTTTTAAACTTCCCACTAAATTCCATTGTTCTCTCTCCAGGAGCTACATCTAATCACTTTCTTATATATTATTCCTCACACCACTTTATTAACTTTACAGCTTGCTGTATTATCCAGTTGTATTTAAGCTTTGCCTTTAGCTACTTTCAAAGGTGTTCTTCATTAGTATTTGTTTCTACCCCTTTTAAGACCTCATAGTATCTGTAATAATAAATCTTTATAGAGAAAAGAAATATGTACTTGGTTAATTACACTCTTAAGGGGTGTTAATTTCTTGAAACATATAAATTTATGCTTTGGGATGAGCAAATAAATTCTAAAAAAAGTTGATAAGCGAGTTTTTTTTACATGCAGGACTTCTTAGAGTTCCACATAAATGTAAGTTTAAACAATTAAAAAATTTCTTTGTGAACTACATTAAATGTCACAAGATGGCAAAATATCAAGTATAAATGTTTAAGAGTAAAAAATTGTTGAAATAGAGTTAAAAAAATTTTTTCTTGAATTTTTGCAGAAAGCTAATTGAGGATTATCTATGCTAGCCATCCCTAATTTTGAAGTGATAGATTAGAGGGAAGACAGCTAGCCAACTCTGGGACTACTCTTTCCCACTGAATAGTGAGATTGACCGTTGTAATGCCCCAATGCGTGGCAAAGGCAAGCATATTCAGCAACAGGTTTCCATTCAACAACCCAAGGATTGAGAGACGAGCACCCTAACCACCAAGCCATGCCAGGCCCCTTAAATCAAAAGGGTTAATCAAGTTAATTAGCAAACTAAAATTAAAGCTAAATTACAGTTACTACAAGTTCATACAGTTCTAACTGTAAAGTGTACTGATATTGGTGATATTTCTAAGTTACTGGTTTTTTTCTGGAGGGGTGGGCATAAATAAAGAAGAGAGAAATGGAAATCAACATCTATGAAGTTAGTATACAGTATGTTGTTTGCTCTCAAGACAAGAATGAAATAAGTGATGCTATTAGTGACCTTGCTAGATTCCACATGGATGGCAAGACACATTTAATTCAAATCACTTAAGCACAAACATACCAAACCAAAAATATTGTTTGTTTATTTTGAATTTCACGCAAAGCTACACGAGGGCTACCTGCGCTAGCCGTCCCTAATTTAGAGGGAAGGCAGCTAGTTATCACCACCCACCGCCAACTCTTGGGCTACTCTTTTACCAACGAATAGTGGGGATTGACCGTCACATTATAACGCCTCCACAGTGGAAAGGGTGAGCATGTTTGGTGTGACGGGGATTCGAACCCTAGACCCTAGGATTGCGGGTCGAGTGCCCTAACCACCTGGCCATGCCGGGCCAACCAAAAATATTAAAAGCATGAAATCTAATATGGCCTAGGAAAACTACACCAGGATAGAATACCAAAAATTGGCAGGTTATTAGTTAGCTAAAACTAAAATAATAAATACATACCTGTATATAGGGTGTTGCATTAATAAACATCTACTGTCATTCCTTGGCCAATGATTGCTCTGCACAAATGGTAATAAGAAAGTTTCTGTTAAACCAAGATAAACAGTTTTAGAAAAGACATCAACAATATATATTGGGTAACAGAATTCACATACCATATGGTTTTTCCCCAAGTCCTTGTTTGATAGTTTTGGAATATTACCTATATTTAAACTCATCATTCTGTAACAAGTACTCAATATGAGCTCTGTTAACCTCGAGGCAATATGCGAGTCGAAATGGATGCGAGATGTTTCTAAATTGAACTAGTGTAATATTTATGTATTCCTCAGCAACTCTCATTGTTAATTCTCCAACATCATTTGGTGGTGTGCTATGGGTCATAATTTTTAGAAATCCCTACAAGAAGTCAAGTGGGATGAGATCAGGAGAACGTGGTGGTCATTCATGTGGGATGAGATCAGGAGAACGCGGTGGTCAATCAAGTGGGATGAGATCAGGAGAACATAGTGGTCATTCAAGGGGGATAAGATCAGGAGAACATTTGGTCAATCAAGTGGGATGAGATCAGGAGAACATAGTGGTCATTCAAGTGGGATGAGATCAGGAGAACATAGTGGTCATTCAAGGGGGATAAGATCAGGAGAACATTTGGTCAATCAAGTGGGATAAGATCAGGAGAACATTTGGTCAATCAAGTGGGATGAGATCAGGAGAACATGTGGTCATTCAAGTAGGATGAGATCAGGAGAACGTGGTGGTCATTCAAGTGGGATAAGATCAGGAGAACATGTGGTCAATCAAGTGGGATGAGATCAGGAGAACGTGGTGGTCAATCAAATGGGATGAGATTAGAACGTAGTGGTCATTCAAGTGGGATGAGATCAGGAGAACGTGGTGGTCATTCATGTGGGATGAGATCAGGAGAACATGTGGTCATTCAAGTGGGATGAGATCAGGAGAACATGTGGTCATTCATGTGGGATGAGATCAGAAGAACATGTGGTCATTCATGTGGGATGAGATAGGAGAACATCTGGTCATTCAAGTGGGATGAGATCAGAAGAATGTGGTGGTCATTCAAGTAGGATGAGATCAGGAGAACGTGGTGGTCATTCATGTTGGATAAGATCAGGAAAACATGTGGTCATTCATGTGATCCTCGATGGACAATCCATTGCTTATCAATCAAGATAACCCAGAATCATCCTACTGTAATGAAATGAAGCACCATCCTTTGGAAATAAATTTATCTTTCAGGATCTGGGTAAGTTTCATCTAAAGCAAGCCCAATTTAACCTTGAAGCATCTGTAAAAAGTTTTGACCATCTCGATTGCCATCAAATAAAAATAGGCCAACAACTTAGTCACCTGCTATTCAACACCAAACATCAACTTTTGGGGATGTTGTGTTTAGCCCATTCTCATCACGTGCCTATTCTCCCGAATCCAACAGTGGCAGTTACATCAGCACACTAGTTCTTCATTTAAAAAGAAGTGTTTTTTTGAGAAGTAAATGCATCCCAGCAGACTGTCACTGGTTTGAATCAGAGTCATGAAACCTTCATAAAATTCAACTTGTCTGTTTCGGTTATCATCCGCAAATTCTTGGTTAATTTGGTACTCATATTGATGGAATTTGTGTCCAAAATCATAGTGACACTCGTGACACAGCCATTGATTGACCAGTTTGCGTGTGGACTGCTGAGTATTTTGTAGCATTGTTACTTTCTAGTGAAGTTCATCAGTTTCACTTCATACCTTTCTGATGGAGGTTGATCATCGAAATTAACAATTTGAAGAAATTATGCCACAATGCTGGCAGTGGTACTATGATTCGGCTATGACTGTTCAGTGGTGAAAGACTTGCTGTATCCAGTTCTAAGTTGCCTTGTTTGGCATAAATCATTATGATATCATCAACTCTTGGAGCACAAGTCATTCTCACAATTTAATAAGCATACAATGAACAGCACACAAAAAAATACATGGTATCAGTGGGATTTCCAGGATTTTTTATTAGGGGGAGCAGGGGGACAGAAAAAATTAACACTTTCATTCCAGTGAGAGTCACAATGTACAAAGAATTTTCAAATATTAAAAGACTAAAAACTGATTATGTCATATGGGGGTCCACCAGGGTGGGCAGAGCTCTCTAATGGGGATTTGAACCACACCCATCCCATTGGACATGCCCCTGCATGATATAATGCATAAATAGAAACAGTAAACTAAAAGAAGGCAACATGCACCCCTTAAAAATAAATAGCCTAAATTAACAGACGTAAAGGAGTACAGATTTATCAACAGAACTTTCTAGCAAACTTAGGAACACCATTGTACAACATGAAATAAAAAATGACAATCCGCTAACCTTCACTTTTTTACTTGGAAATTGCTGAAAAAAAAAAATGTTACAAACAATGATAATCACTGGAAAGTAAGCTGGGGTGCAAAGATATTACCTTCAGTCATACATCTACAGTATCTTGAAATGTATGAAATGAGGACTTGAAAAATATCCATATGGTGCATTAATTCTATTACACCCAGTTCAAAAACACACAATGTACATACACACAGTTTATTTTCATTGTGCTACCTTATAATGATTACTACCTGCTCAACATAGCTGTTAGGAATCACTAGTCCACTGTCTGTGTGCTCATTATGGACTTCAGAAGAGCAAATGGAGCAATTTAAAGTGATTAGACAGAATTCTATTGACTTGGCTGCATTAAAATTTCGAATTTTTATAACCTTGTGAAACTCGGTGAAGAAAAAGCCAGATATTTGAATTATTAAATTAATGTTTCTTTAAGATTTCTAATTTTTTTTTAACTCAATTACATATACACGTCTTTAATATTGATTTATTTACAAAAATATAATGGGTCATATTCTTTTTACCAGAACTACCAACCTTTTTCCCTTTTTTGAGAATAACTTGAACTCCTTCAACAGATATATTTATATAAACCTTCTTCTTTCTGATGCCTTTGGTCTTGAATTCATACTGAAAAAACAAACAAACTAATACACACAATGAATGAGCTGATAACACTCATGGTGAATTGATTCCAAAACTCATTAACAATACTATCTGTGGAAAATATAAGAATAAGATGGGTGACAAAGTTGCTACGACATCACTAAGCACTATTTATCAGATGCATACATACAACAAATAACCTAAACATATTAATTGTACAAGATACAAAACAAGTATAAAGTGAATGACCAAAGTTAATAAGAGGACACTATCTAGGTTGCTGTGTTAATAATTATCCGATTCAATCACACACACACACACACACACTAACTAGTCTAAAAAAAACCACCCATGCAAGATACAAAACAAGAATAAACTAGACAACAAAACTTGCTAAGAAGGCACTGAACACATCTAGAGTGCTGTGTCAAGAGTTACCGAATACGAACACACAGTAACTCAGTTTTCTTACTGGGTAAACAGCCAAAACATGTAATATCAGTACAAAAACATAAAACTTAAGTAAGATGGTCAAGTTCGAAAGTAAGTAAAGGCATGAGTTCATCAACATTGCAATATCAAAGTTAAGTACCAAGTTAGGTTTTGGAATTTCTAACTGAGTATAGAGTTTTTACTCAATATTAAATCACAGTTAAAAGAACAAAAACCTAACTTTACATTTAATTGTGACATATCAATTGTGATGTATTTTTTGCTTTTGATTTTCTAACTTGGCCACTTTTGTTACATCAGTGACGTAGATAAACCAGGGCACCACTCAGAATCTCTTTAGGAGGTCGGGCAAGCCTGGGTAATTTTTTTGTGATTTCCATTATGAATTACTGATCATATAAAATAATTATTAATTGTTTATGTAAACAAGTTAAACAGAAGGAGAACACTGAATACACAAATAATCTTCCCATGTGTTTCAAGGATTTTTTGAATTCACAAGCTTTTAAGTACCGTGTACCATATTTAGATAACTTAGAAGAAGAAGATTTTACTTTTCTTTGAAGTGCACAAATTTGTCAGATTGTACAGTCAGCTTTCTTCTGATCACTGTTATGTACTTAAGTACTGGTTGCTACGTCAGTGAGATGGAGTGCATTCATTCAATAAAAATTCAAAATTTTGTCTTTCTTTTTATGATCATAAGGTCACGGTTAAAGTGGTGATTAAATAAATTGTCTTTGGTTAAATTAATACTCTGTTTAAGCAGTAAGAAAAAAAATGTAAATTTATTATAATTTTTCTACTTTTTATTTTGCAGTTTCTCATACTTCTGTGTGATTAACCCTACATTTACCACCTGGGGTGCATTTGAACCTCAATACACTTAAAATCTTTGACCTAGAGCAGCTATGACACACAGAACCTTCTTCATTATTATAATCCTTTGTAACACAAATCTTTTATTATTCCAGCATCACTCGTAATGCATCATGAATGTTTTGATTCCTGTTTGTACTTACTTTACCACCTGGAATGTATTTGCTACATCCCATCTAGTTTTAGATTTATGATGTAATCTTTTCCATGAAAATATGCAGGAAAGCTACAGAGCTTTATCCCAAGAATGTTTTGGAAATTTCAAGAACATTCTAAAAACAATTTGAAAGACTAAGCAAATAAGTAATCTTAGTTGACATCGTTTACTATTATAGTCAAGTAGAGAGTCTACTAATACTAATTCTGCAAGTAAAATAAAAATTTGAAAAATTGGGAGGATTCATACACCAAAATGTTGAATTTTAACTTGGGGAGTGCAGAAACAGTATAACATTTCACTAACTTCAACACATGATGTCCATCAATACAATTCATCACACCAGGATAACACTACTGCTGCCTTCGTAGCAACTACCATTCATTATAAAACATTCATTGGTATTGTTTAAAAATAGAGGGGAAACAAGTGATAAAAATTTTTTGAAGAAAATAAGGATGATGTAGGAATGGTAATGACAAAAAGTACAAAAACAAGGTAAGGATGAATATACAAATCCATACAAAACTCCCTATATAAGTAGCCAAATCTTTCCAAGAAAAACTTTTATCAACAACTAAATGTTGAATTCCTTTCATTTGCATGAATTCAGGTTTGAATAAAAGCATTTAAACTGAATAATGCTATACAGTCTTATAATGGCTAATTCCCAAACACTTGTAACATTAACTCACTGGCTAATTATGTTGGGATTTTTGTATGGTTTTGTGTATTTGTCCCTACCTTGTTTCTATTGGCATTTTTAAACAATACCAATGAATATTTTATAATGAATGGTAGTTACTATAAAGGCAGTAGTTTTAGCCTGTCACGAGATGAGTTGTGTTGAAGTTTGTGAAATGCTATTCTGATTCTGCACTTCCCAAGTTAAAATGGAACATTTTGGTGTGTAAATCATTCCAACAACTTCAAGCATTGGTGAGCTAGCCCTTCTAACACAGAATCAGAATAATCAACAGAAAATTTGGCTGTTAATATTTGCCAGTTCTCTTCTTTAGCAATGTTTTTTGGCTAAACTGAAGATCTTAATAGCTTTTGGAAAACCTAAGTTAGGAGTTAATAAAAGTCTGTTACATTCTTATAAGAGGGATCTGAGACTATGGTGAGCAATGCATAATGTGTGTCGGTCCTTTTTTTTTTCCCAGCACATCCCTACCATGGTTAGTGTTAACACATCTCACTCCAAAGTTGAAAGCAAGCAAGGATACAATTATGTCACAGGGAGTGATTATATCCTAGGGTTGGGAGAAGAAAGTATATTTAATGTAGAAGAAAGCAGTTGATCAGAAAGTAAAAATTTCATTGATCAAGTTGTAGAACAGTAAGAAAATGAAAGAAATGCTTAAACTGAGTCAGAATCACGATAATCTGAAGATGAAATATCACCACAAAGAGGAAAGCAAAGAGATGGTCAAAATGCCTTTGATATGGGTTTGATTCTGCAACTTCTATAATAACCTGTCGTACAAAAATTGTTTTCTGGGTATTTAGTTCAACACATCACTATACCAAGTGGTTAAGGCAAAATAGAAACTAACATAGTATAATGAGGGTTAAAGAGTTCAACAGCTAAGTTTACAGATAAACCTGTATACTTAACAGTTTACTGGATAGAAGTATCTAGCTTTGAATTAGGTTGCTCTGGGAAAAAAAAAATTCAAATTCAAGTAAAAGGTTGAATGAAAAGCAGTGGTCAAAATGTGCAATAAAAAAGATGTTTTAACAGGCCCCTCACAAACCATTGGGGGACATTTTTCTTGAAAAAAACTACCCAATCCAGTTTTTCTTAATTTGAACTGAAATTTTGTGGACATGTTTATTGGATAAAAAGAAGGCATTTCCCACACTCTTTTAGTGTTGGAGCTGCAAAAAGTGACTGAAATCCATCAGTGCATCACACGCTTAACAGCCAAACACAAGAAGCATGGAATTGGAAGTCTCCAAATGACACGCAGGGGTATTCAGGAACCGTTTAGAACCACCTTGGTAGTTATTGTGCAGCAAGCCAAATACAATATTATACCTGTAGCTGCTTTCAAAGTGTTCCTGTCTGCTCATCCTACTGCTGACTATCATGATGTTTCGACCTTCCCTACCGAATCGCAGGTGAAATCGTTGGTATCTCAATTGAAAGTTAAACATAAGGTGATAGCGGAAGCATAAAAGGTTGGCAATTGTTTAATTAATGGCTTTATTGATATATACTGAATTTACTCCCAGCAGGTAGACCTTAGTACTAGCTAGTATGGAGACTTGAGGATGCTGTATTTCACTTAAAAATTTATCAGTTAACAAACACTTGTCTCAAAGTTGTCTCGAAAAGATACATTCAAAACCACCCTCTTTAGGAGAATCTGGATTGAATTTACTTTTAATATTCAACAAACTGTAATGTAAAGACACCCTTTGGTTCTTGAGGGACATGTTAAAATAAGTCTGAAAATTTAGAATTATAAGTAGCAAGGTAAGAACAACATACCTGTATGTTAGTCCAAAAATTTAATGTAACAAAATTTAAAGGCAAGCCATTCCAAAGACCAACCACCCTGTTAGTAAAATAAAACTGTCTTAACTGAAGATCACTTCTACTTACCAAAATTTATATTTGTGTCCCCTAGTCCTACCATTCTCATCATGAAATATGAAAAAAGATGATTCATCAACACTATCAATTTTCTTAACTACCCTAAACATCTTCTTTTTTTTTAAAAGTATATTTTCTATTACAGTTCTGGGTATGTTTTGGTCTTAATGAAACAAATTTCCTTACCCTAATATCCATACTTTTTTCCTTGTTTTCAGAAACAGCCTGACAGATTTTACAATTCCTAAATAATCTGAGGGGATTCACTTTTTGTATGATTAAAATAAGAAATTATACATCTTGAGTCTAGGGTTTCTACTTACACAAGACAATTTTCTGCAGTCTGGTAATTTTATGTTGTACACTTATTAGCATCATGTAACGATATCCTGAAAATACAACTACATATTCACTGCAACTGAATTTATGATTTTTTTCAGCATTACCCAAATATGGTACTAGAAAAAAACCTTTGCTTTATCAGCTGTGATATCCTAGTACGTGGTATGCTGTAAATTCATTCCCTTAACAACAACGTCGTGTTAAAATTATGTCACAGAAAACAAGATCAATCAGAGAGATTAAATACCCTCTCCCTGCTGCTCCTTTTTGATATTGCATGCATTTATATTGGAAAACATCAAATTTCACCTTTGAAAACTCAGAAAATCCTTCTCAGATCCAGAATGATTTACGATTCGGATCATTTTTTTGTATTGTGATGAGAGATCTCAACCTTAATGTGCTCATGAAATTTGGTACAAATATAATCACACATTACAGAGTTACTAACTCAAAACTGTGAAAATGCACTATTTCTCCATTATAAAAAAAAGCTTCAAAGTGATCCAGAATCCAAATTTGGACCAAATATGGGGAAGACTGTCCAATACTGACTTCCCATCTTGCATAAAATTTTAGTGTACATCAGTTTGTTAGTTTTCAAGATACACCGACAGACACAGATTCGATTACAATGCCACCCCCCCTTCTGGGGGGCAAGAGTAACAATACAAGCAAAGCTTAATGGATTGCCATGTTAAATACCACTCAACCTTGAAGAATAAGCCTAGATCCTGGAATCAGTGATATCTGACCATTAATTAGTTCTATTTCAGAATAACAAGTTTTTTCTTTCTCATTTATGTGAATTATTTATTTTTACCTCTAACCTTGTCTTATATTTTTTACTTCTGTCTAACTGACATTTTCTTTTTAATCAATCATTATTTTACTTCATCAGTACTCAAAACAGTTTCCTTTCATATTCTTCTTTTTTTTAAAAACAAAAAAACCTCTCTAATCTTTCTATACCTAACATTCTAGTTTCCTGTCATATTACACAATGACACTGTTTGTCAAAACACTGTCATAATATCACTTCCCCACCCTTTTCTCATATTTAGCTTTACTTAGTCACAATTAAAGCTAAATTATACATCTTAAATTAGGTAAGAATGTTTTGACAAACAATTTGGGAGAAACAAAACAGTTAGAATAATAAGAAACATAGTAATATTTACATACAAAATCTTGGATACAATACACCAAATTTGAAATAGGATCACAGCAAAAACAATTAAACTTGTTGCACTTTGTAAGCTTCCAGTTTATAGTCACAACAACTAACTCAAACATCTTGTACCATTACCTGATTGTTGATTCTTATAAGAAATGTTAACAACACTAAGCTTTAATACAAGGAAAATGAGTGTTCTTACTCTAATGCGTCGCATTGCAGATACAATTTCTACTCTGCTACTGGGTCGGGGAATATCCAGGGTACCTATGTACTAAAAGTTAAAAAAAAGTCTTTAATTTTATGCATGGTATGAAAGTTTCATACACTACTAGATGTACTAAGTTATAAAGTATGTGATCTGAAATTACTTATTTTCAATACTGAAACATAAAAGAAGACGACAAAACTTCATACTTATCACCCAATTTTTTTCTCAAGCATCTACGTACAATAGCTTTCTATGTCAATATTTTAGAGTTTGTCAGATTATGTTTTTAAGAAATAATAAAAATTTGTATTCTTAGGTGACTTTTGGAAGATTCCATATTTTAAGTATGATTCACTCACAAGACAATAAATTATCAAAAAACAACAACACTTTCATATAATTTACATTTGCATATTTCTCAACGTAACAACTACAAGTACTTTCAGAATAATGCAAGGCTTAATCTATACAAGGTACAGCTGCTGTGCTTACAGAATCAACATGCTTAGTTGTTAAAAAAAACTAACAATGTTTTAAGATATTATGAGAATTTTAGTGTAATTTAAGACTATGCAGTGATTAGTAAAATTATTAGAAAGATTAAACTAAAAAACAACTAATGTATAAAACCAAAACGTTCAGTACAAGTTCCTTATACAGATACCTCTTTCCTGATAGTTCCAAGTTAATTTGATTGGATAACTGGGTGAGAAACAGAGCTGGAAGATTAGTGAAATTTACTAACTGTTGGGCTCATTATTTGATTATATTTAACTAATCAATTATTCTCATGAGACTTGGACAATTGGAATAATAAAAAAAAGTAATAATCAGAAACATTAATTTTGATTAGTTGATTATTTTGTGCAAAATTAATCTATTTGATGATAAATTTGATAAATCGATTAAGTTTTGTGCAATAATCAGTGCAACTGATCTGGCAAGTATCAACTATATCGACTAATCAAATTAACTGCCCAGCTCAAGTAAGAAAAGCTTCTCTACTACTTTTCATAACAGGGTCTAAAGGACGATTATAAAAGAAAACCCTTATTTAAAATTGTTACATCTTAAAACTACTTATCCTATGGAAACCTTCAGAATCGTACGTTTTTATTAAGAAATGTTAGGACATGATACAGGATGTTTTCAAAACAACCTTATCTATATATCTATATTGCTTTCCTCACAAGCTCAAACTCCTTTTACTTAACCTTTTCTTTTCTCCTATCAATGGTACCAGACTCGAATAAAATGCATTCCACTGTACAAGATACTGCAAGAATTAATGAGCACTCTTCAGAAAAGATGTTTGCAGTAGCTTCATTTAGGAGTGGGCTTGATATGTTGATTGAAAATATGTAAAGCATAGTAAGCACATTTGGTGATAGTTCTTCAAACATCCTATACCATGTCTTAACTTTTCTGAATAAAATGTATGATTCACAATGTGCCTCTGGTGAAATTTAGTTCTTAAAAGATGAGAAGTTAAGATAAAATAATTTGAATTCCTTGATTTCTTGTGTATTATTTTTTAAAGATTTAAGTATAAGATAATATTCTGCATGTTTATAATAAATTCTTTGGTTGTTGTCTGTAACCCTTGTAGAAGTTTTACGATTTCCTTCATTTTTATATGAAATTTCCTCTTAACTTTCACTATACAAGCTCTATATTGTGCATGTACATATTCCATCTGTGCTTTCCCAATATTTACAAATTAATGTATAAACATGACTTTCCAAGTGGTTTTACAATTATTACATAAACAAATATACAGAATGCAAACTTACTTTTGCTGAAAATGTAATTCCATGATGAAAAGCTTCTTCATTGTGTAATGGGATTCGACTATCAAAGGAATCATCGTTCACTAAATTGTATCGTTTCTTGGATGGCATTTTAAAACCACACTTCACACTGCCATTTTTCAGAACAAATAGGTCCTCATATTTTCAAGTGTTAATCACTATCTTGCAAAAAAAATATGACATCCAAATCCTTACTCCTTTTGGATGATCTGTGATGAATGTACTGCATTAACTTGTTTTTTGAAAAAGCAGATGCCAGTTACGCAAGAGGTAACATGCATAATTTCGTTCCTGAAACTTGGGGACACATTTATTTCTCTTTTCTAAGCACAGTTTTAACACGTACATGTAGTCTTTGAAGAAGACCATGCATTATTCTGTAAGTCTATCTCTGGTCAGTATAACTGTAAAAAGATACAGTAAACAAAAATAACTTGCATTAGCACTTTCCAAATAAACCTAGTAATTTAGTAACAATGACTTTTATAAAGAAAGAGATGCTAACTTTAATACTGATAAAACTATGGAATGAAAAATGCTATACTCTTTCTTAGCTCTTGCTCATTATTTTCTTGGTAAGAGTTCCATATGGCACCCCCCACTCAATTTTTAAAAAAATTCATCAAAGTAATATTTATGTATTAATAAATCATATTAATAGTATGATCTTATAATTTTGATACATTATTATACCACTTACTTCATTAATTAGATGTACAATCTTCTTGGGGATAAACTTTACAAATGTCTTGTATAAAGGCATCAAAAAGGCTACTTTTATCAGAATATAATGTTCGGTGTCAAAAGGAAATGGGGGTGCCAAAGTAGTTTGGAACATTTTTTTTCATTTTTTTTTTGGTAAACCCCAAAAAGCTATGCCCCAATTTTTCTAATATGCCCCTTGAAATAAACCCTTTTCAGAATCTTTTTTATTCAGGCAATTCTACAATTTTTGGGTGGGGGTGCCATATGGAACTCTTTCTATTTTCTTCACTTTAAATAGATTTACAACTGAATTTTTGTGGTAGGAAAGTAAAAATTAAAAACATTACAACATATGCAAGAGTCCTATTTTATGAAGTTTATCTAACATGTATGTTAAGTAGCAACTTCTTTAAAAATGACCAAACAAGCATTTTGTTTTATAAATGTGGTTTTTATAGTTTTCCAAAATATTTCAAGATATTTTCAATACAATGATTACATAATTTTTATGCATTATTTATTTTATTACACGTTTTTAACACGTTAAACTTTACTGTTCAAGTTATTTCTTTTTATCATCCTCTGAAATTTATTACCTTTTCATTGTTTTCTGAAAAATATTCATAAATCTTAATTTCAATGCTCAGTTGGTGTAATCCTGACCATAGGCCCAATAAAAATAATAAAAATATATATTATTTTGAGGGACTGAGAAAATTTAATTCGAAAGCATATCCATCTAAATATTGCGATTTTTTATTTTCGTTACATTGCTTCAAAGCAACAGCTGGAAAACAGTGAAATTTTTTATTTTAAAACTAAAAGACAAACTTTTTAGTTCAAAACTTCAATAAACTAAGGCCCTAAACGGACTTATAAATAGAGAATATTGTTTATTTATCCGATTTACTTATTTTCGTCATCGAATCCCAAAATGGCAATATATAATTACTAATTTAGTGCAAACGCTGCAGTTCTATTACTACTTCTGTACTAAACAAACAGTTTAAAAGTACTGAAGTAACTTCACTACACTAGTCTACACTACAGTAACCCTAACCACTGAAACCAGCCCGAATCAACACCTGTCAGTCATAACTTCATTCACCACAAACTACACTAACATGTTCAGATTTAATTAAATAGATAAATTTAGCAGAAACAACGCTAAAACTCACCAACTCAATATAAAAGAAGCACAAGCGTATTAACTAAATAACTGTTATTGTATTTTACTTACTAAACCAGGCTATAGTTCTTACTAGTAGTAATACTACTACTATGTGATCAAGCGCCTCTGACTTAACAGCGACACCTGTGGAAGTATGCAAATAATATAACATAAAATTTAAGGACAAGAAGGGACCTGTTGATTCTAGAAAGTCTCATACACTAAGCTAAATTTAAAAAAGATATATTAAAAGTCAGCCTTAATCATTCAAATATTTATAAAGCCTTCCTTTAAGCTTCTGTGAATTTCCTACGTCCACCATATCCGAAGGCAACCCATTTCGAAGGCCAAACATCCTGTTAAAATAATAAACAGTATTAGCTAGATTCCTTACTTACCAAAATAGTCCTATATTTCTCATTATTAAATACAAAAAAAAATAATGAATCGACACTATCAATTCCCTTAATAATCTTAAACACCTTATACAGATCCCCTCCAACCTTTTTTTCTTCAAGACAAGACAATTCCAAAGAATTTAACCTGTAGTAAGACAACCTTCTATCCGCGATATCATGTGTGGTTACAAACATTTTTAAAATAGTAAAAAGTAGTTTGTTTAGTCATGCTTAAAGTATTAAGCTCATATCACAATAGATTAGATAAACTATAACAATAACTTATGATGAAATGTAAAAATTTAAGGTGGAACTGTGGAAAACTTAACATTTAAAATCCTTAGATGGATGACAAATCTTTGAAGCTGCAGCAGTAATGTTAAAGAATATTTGATAAACAATAAATTAAAAATATACTTTTACATTAGAATTTTAACAATACATTTTAAACTGTATAAAATTTGCAGCATGAAAGTCTATATGCTCACAACATCTATCATCGGAATCATGATGAAGGAAGAAAAATAAGATCTAAATGCATTTTACTTTCTTCAACATAGCCATAACTCTGTGAATGTGAATTTTCCTATAAATATCCCCTCTCCTAGTGATTCAGAGGCCCCTGGTTGTCTAGCCCCTTCTGAGCTTATGAGATTAAAACCAAAATTACTACCAAGTTCGCAAGCAAGCAAGACTCAGAGGCAAGCCTAAGGGCTTATAATGCTAAAAACCGGTCTTCGATACTCGTGTTGGGCACAGTTCAGATAGTCTATTGTATAGCTTTGTGCTTAACAGAAAACAAGCTGAAAAACAAACCTATAAATATTTATATTTAATTTGTTGAGTTTTTAACCGGTGTAAAGGATAGTCGTGTTTTTATTATATATTTATAGTGAGTTAGCAATATTTATGTCGATTTCTTTACGAACATATTTTAAACTAACACTTTATCAAACCATATCAGGCTTAACCAGAAATTTCAGCTTTTAATCACTGAAATCAGAAAGGTACTTTCTCCAAAACTAGCGGGGGAAGAGGGGGGTAGTGTACACCCGAGGACCCAGTGGTTGGGTCTAGAAGCAGACTCCCGATTGGGTCAAGGGATACGAATTCCGGGCGCTCTTTGATTTTAAGCATTTTCTGTGCTAAAAGAATTGCTTTCTTTGTTGGATAGTGTTGTTATTTTGGTTATAATTTTTATACATGAAATATAGGAAGAGGGGGGCTGAACAACCGAGACAAGTTTCATCCCTTTTAAGAATGGTTTACCCTGAAGGAAGATAAACTGTTGAATTGGATCATTTTCTGTGATTTCGGGGAAGATAAACTGTTGAATTGGATCATTTTCTGTGATTTTAGGGAAGATAAATTGTCGAATTGGATCATTTTCTGTGATTTTAGAGCCCATTTAAATGAATCCGTGAGATGGGCATCAAATACGTGAGGTTTGACATGGTTTGGGCTACTCTTTTACCAATGAATAATGGGATTGACCGTAACGTTATAACACCCCCACGGCTGAAAGGGCGAGCATGTTTGGTGGGGCGGGGATTCAAACCCGCAACCTTCAGCTTGCGAGTCGAGCGCCTTATCCACCTGGCCATGCCGGGCACAACTTAAATTACAGAGCTCCATCTATAATCACTAACCTAAGTTACGGAGGTCCACCTATAATCATTATCTTAAGTTATAAAGCTCCACCTATAATCACTAACCTAAGTTACAGAGCTCCACCTATAGTCACTAATCACTAACCTAAGTTACGGAGCTCCACCTATAATCATTATCTTAAGTTATAAAGCTCCACCTATAATCACTAGCCTAAGTTACAGAGCTCCACCTATAGTCACTAATCGCTAACCTAAGTTACGGAGCTCCACCTATAATCACTAGCCTAAGTTACAGAGCGCCACCTATAGTCACTAATCGCTAACCTAATTTACGGAGCTCCACCTATAATCATTATCTTAAGTTATAAAGCACCACCTATAATCACTAGCCTAAGTTACGGAGCTCCACCTAGAATTACTAACCTAAGTTACATTGGTCCACCTACAATAACTGACCTAAGTTACGGAGCTCCACCTGGAATCACTAACCTATATTTTACATAATTTCTAGCTTTGCTAGAACTATTGCTCATATGCGAGTCATAATGTAATGATGGTGGTTCCTTCGAAATTTCCTCAAGTAAGTCATAAAACAATTTTGATTGAACACAATATGCTAAGCTTACTTAAATAGTTTCTTACTTTTTAAATCCCCCTTTTAATTAATTTTATTTTGATAAATTGAAATTATATTGCATTAAATTAAATATTTGGCGAAATATAAACTGATTAGTTAAAAATATAACCAAAACATTAATTGTTTTATGTATAGTGTTTTTAGTTGTTTTTTTATTGACCAAAGCGAACCTATGTTCTTAAAGGATTTGAATAATAAATTGTTTTTAGAAAAGACAATTCTTGTGAAAATAGGAAAAAATAACTGTTTTTGAAAAAAAAAAACATTAAAAGAAAAACTCATCACTAGTCGTTGTGATGAGTTTCAAGTTGACGTTTGTGTAATTTTTGATGCTGAAACAACGAAATTAACAGGTTAATTTGTTAGCCCAGAGCTACACGGTGGTCTATCTACACTATGTCCTCTGCGGGGAATTGAACGCCGGATTTTAGTACTGCAAGTCCGTAACTCTTACCCACCAGTGAAAACATCTGAACATAAACTACGTAATTGTATGTAGAAGTACACGATTTTGAGTTTGTTTGACTTTCTTAAGCTTCTCTATTTTACAATATAGTATGTAGTAATTGATTTAGTTGAGAAATATAATATATGGAATTGAAAAATTACTGGTTATAAAAAATTTATTTGATCAATCATGTTTTGAGCCCCTATGGGCCATGTGCCCATTTCCACTCCCCAGTTCAGTCAGCCCCTGGTTCTAATGTTATAACTTTAAAGTTTACCCATTTCTAAAATGTAGACAAAAATGTTACATAAAACATTTAATATCAATGAAATTATAAAATAAATTCACATAGATGCGAAAATATAGAGATATGTTGGGTAATTTGCATTAAAACGATTTTATAGCCTCAGCACGTCTTTACGGTGCATGTCGACGTGGTCAGTCAGCTCTATCTGACGACCGTGCATCCTTACAACGGCCCTTCAGCGTAGTTTCCATTGCAAAAGCTTTCACGTTCAAAGTACACCACTTCTTCTTGATGTTTTCTATAATCCATCTAATGTATTAAGGACGGTAGTTTCCCAGCACCCTTTTCAACAGTTCAATCGTACAGAAATTCACAGGCACTGCGTCCGACGACTTGACCGGTACGTCTTCTTACAGAATAGCATAAATACTCCTTTCATTTTCCAGCTGCTTGAGGTATGCGACAGTTAAGTAAACATGTCATTGAAGCAACTTGTGTATATGTGGCTTGTTTCACTTTTCCAGATGGAGATTCTTCTTGATTATGTTAAGTACTGTCGCCTGGGGCACATGGACGGCTTTTGCTACTAACCTTTTCGTTCATGGATTCTCACTTGATACAAGATGCCACAGTTTGCATACCACAGCTTGAATACGACTTGTTGCAGGTCTCTTTCTTGATGTTCCTGATGGTAGGGGGCCCAAGTTGATCCACATTTGTTTCTTATTTCAATACATGTAAGTATAAGGGATGTCCTGCCTTCGAAATTATAATTGCCCGATCTGAACACATATTTATGATCTGAATGTATGACTATTTTGCGTTGATAAGGGCTGTTATATACTCTTCTCAAAAGCGATCAGTTTTTTGTTTTGGGAGGCACCACACCCCCTACGAAACGCGAAACAATATCACAGTGTAGTTCTAAATCATGCCGTTTCATCACTTTATATCTGGTGTAGTTATAACGTGATTTGTATGTTCAAATTCGTTTTAACATTACGTACAAAAGACTGCTAAAGGCATTTGTACATATTACATCGAAATAAAGGAGCAAATAGTAAGAGCTATACAGCAATTATTATTCTAATAAACAAGTTATGTTTTACCAGTTAATTGCTTAGATCACAAACTCCAATGAATCATGAACGAAGAGTACGTAGTTCTGTGATAAAAAGTTATTCGGAAGTTAAGCCAAGTATATTCAAGTATTATAATAAAACCGATATTGTTGGCGCTCAAAGTTGGCTTTTTGCCAAAAGATACAACATATAGCTACCAGTAATTAAACCCAGCCGTTATGGATAACAAAATTAAATGTGATGAAAGCCACTGCAGATTTGTCAATATTTTAATAAAACACATTATAGTTAGATATACTCGTATATAAGTAACAATAAATACAAGAATGTGAAATAATAAACACGTTGTAGTGTAATTAGTAAGAGCAGTTAAAAGTAACTAAACATCAAATAGCTTTAGGCAAAATAGCTACAAGTTAATAACTATAGATGGCGCTTTCTTATGGCATGCCTTTCGATGTTTAACAATAAAGTTAACAGTAGAAAATGTATGATATTTTTTGTTCGGTACGTAATTTGTGTATTTTCAAGTACATTTTTCATTCTGTCTACGTTCTACTTATACAAATGAACATTTTTTAAAGAAAGTGTATAAAAATCTGAAATCGTGCTCGACTTTTAAACAAATTTTGACATTAATTTTAGTCTGGCGTCATTCTTGTTCTTGGATTATTGCAAGGGTATATA